TGTCCATTATCGCAAATCTCTGGACCTGTGCTATCAGATGACAGAAGATCTCGGCTCTTGGTCTCCCGTTGGACTGTTCAAAGCCAGCTATCATCCACACAGTAATGACAGCCCCTTATCAGAGCAGAGAGGAGAGGAGGCAGGGTACAAAGAGGCATCCAATGTAATCTTCTCTCCTCTTATGTTGTGAAAGATGGGCTCTGATTATACCATCAAACAGTGCGAGCGATTTGAGAGATACAAAAGTGATGGCTTTGTTGTGCTCGGGGTATAATATCGTGTCGCGTTCGGGATTGGCAGTGAAATGGCGGTGATAATGGTGGACAGCAGTGACCCCTGTGTACGATAACTCACTTAAAAGAGTCTATTAGCGGTTCGAGGCAGGACCAGCGTGTAATTATGTGAGGCAAAGAGCAGAGATGAGAGCGATGAGGGCTTTTAAAAGAGTACAATTGAACATGAAGAATCTTGTTTACTTTGTTAAGGAAAATCGCCCCGCAAAATTCATTTCCGTCTAATTGGAATCGCAATTTGAACGGTGCCGGTTGGAAAGTCAGAAATAACAAAACGCGGCGTTTCAAAAGGATGTTAAAGGATGTTTCCCCTGGAGAAGTTATTGGTTTGCCTGGTTCGACTACGGTATTAAACTTATCCATCTTGCATTTCATTACAGGTGTTTTGATTGCCGCCAAAAAATAAAAATTTAATTAAAAATGTATAATTGAAAAATGCCTTCTTACTGTGAGCGAGGTCACTTCTCCTCAAATCTTACTTTTAACTTGTGTCTGCAGAAAGAGATAAGTTTCCATGGAGATCTTCCACAAGTAACATTAAACTGTGCACCTTTAATGTTTAACGTTTCCCCCATGTAGACGACACTTGTTTCCTTAATGACGTGTTTTGAAACCTCGGCTGTGTCACTAAAGACGAGATTTGACGACCATTAGAAACGGTTCCAGTTTTTCACGTGTAAACAGAGGCTGCGATAGGTCGGGGCTAGGGATGGGCATTCGATGAAATTTTCTTAATCGATCTTCGAAAGAATTAACGATTGATTATCGATTAATCATTAACATTTTTATATTAAAATGATCATCATTATTATTACTATCTGCACTACTAATCTGCGTAAATAAATTCAACTTTACGACATATAAACCGTAACGACTCTAGAGCCACATCAATCCGTTTGAGATTATAATGTTTTTAATTCAGTTTTGCGCAACTCTCACAGAAACAAAACTTAAAACCGCATCACTAATTTGCATAAACTAAGCGAAGATAAAACTACAGCTCTTGATGTGGTTCAGCTTCTGTTGGATTAAAAGACATGACTCAGGTGAATACAGGTTAGTGTGACCATATTTGCGTTTGTCAAAACCAGGACACCGTACGGGGGGAGGGAGGTGGGGACTCGTCATCCGACATTGAGCGACTCTCACCTGGTAAAACTTTTTCCCACTGGACACCGAAACATATGTGCTGCTTTATACACTGTGCACATGGACTCACACTTGTCCCGAACGCAACGGAAAGCGTGGAATTTCTTGTACAAGTCATTGTTAAATATGCATTTGCGCTTCGGTACGCAGCAGACTGAACGTTTGTGTCTCGCTCCTTCTGAGTGCAGAGAGACACATGTACAGACACCTGTTTGGTCACGCTACGCACAGCAACCTACATTCAGTTTGTCGATTAAAATTAACGTAATCGATGAAATTGTTAATGATCAATTATCCATTAATCGATTAATCATGCCCATCCCTAGTCGGGGCCACTACAACCCACACTAGGGTGACCAATAGGATTCAAGGATACATTTTTGCCGATTTTTTTCCAAAGTTTATCAAAGTAGTGACGATTGTAGCTTCCGGAAAACACACAACACAAAACACGAGCAATGTAAAGATCGCGGTGCTGCGGTGCACAGTTTTAGAAATAATGAGGAGCGGACGTATTTTAAGGATAATTTTGGAAAAAGTGACTTTTATAGATTTCAAAGTGATGACGTTGTTTATAAAGTGGAAAACAGCGATAGCGACAGAATTTCGGAGAGTAAAACTTACGAAGGTGAGAATGCCGGTGATGTGTCTGTATAGAGTCCTGTGATATTCAAACAAACTATCAAGGACTTTATACTCTATTATGAACCAAAATTTCCCCAAAATCTGGATGTTGCTCAGGCGAGTCCTTTCAAATATTTCAGTCTTTTTTTCAGTCTATTTCAGTCAACAAAATTTTAAAATTGTACATATATAGGCTGCATCTGAATATACAGTAAGCTGCAGGTGTCCACGTCTTCAAGAACATTTTCAAGTTCGGGTCGTCTGCTTTTATCTCCTGTGAAAGATTTTGTCATCTTTTTGCGTTGAGTCAGTTCGTCACGCTGCCGTCGCCAAAATCTCACCATCGACTCTTTGACGCCGAGCTCACGTGCAGCAGCTCGAGTTCTTTCTTCAACAGCCTTTGCCTTTAACTTAAAAGCTGCATCATCTGCATTTCTTTGTGTGTTTTCCACAATGAGGGTGTGTGTATGAAGCGCAAAATAACAGGGGTGTAACGACATCCAAGTCTCAAGATACAATATTGTCACGGTGCGATCTTTTTGGCGATATCGTGGGAAAGCTCACGATTAGGGATGTAACAATATTTTCACAATATACATCTCACGGAACGATATTTATTGCGATATTTTGTGGAGTCTAACAAAACTGTTAATATGCTACTTTTTCCTCTTAAAATGCCTCGACAAGACTTAATCCAAAGAACTAAGACTTAAAAATGCTTAGAACTGTTATTTCTTCTTGTAGTCTGCACTGAAATGGAGCAAAGGATCATGGTCTATGTAGTTCCCGCTGTCTTTTTTGTTTTTAGCTATTGCTGCACCATAACTCTTAATTTAAGCAGAGAGACTTGTAATTCGATATATTGTGATGGTCCACGATATTATTGTGAGAACTTTGACGATACGATATCACGATATTTTGAATTGTTTGATTGACACATCCCTAAAAATAACTGTTCAAAACACAATCAAACTAGAATCTTCCTCTGCCCGCGCTCTACTGCTCATGTCTCCTGCAGAAAGAGTCTCTGTCCTGTCTGGGATCGTGTCAGTGTCTTGGAGGATTTCAGCAGATTTCAGACTCTCTCGGAGGGCTAGGCTACTTGTATCTATCAGGTCTGAGTGGATGTCCGGCTACTGAAGCTTAAGACGTTTCTTCTCATCATTTACACACACGGGTAAGACGTATCCCCCTCACTAATGTTCATTTAGCATCATAACTTATTTTATCACATGGCGATAAACTGTTTTAGTGCACTCATAACAATCTGTGCTGCCAAACCACAGACCGTATATATCAGGGGTGCGCAATACCTCAATCCCGATCTACCAGTCGATCGCCAAGGTCGTGTGGGTAGATCGCCGTGTCTTAGTACTCGACTCGATCGCATTTGGACTCGGTCTTGTCTCTCACTCGAGGTCTGACACTCAACAAGTGTGATCATATTTCATTACGGCCGCTGCTGTTGGTAATAAACTTGTAGCGGGTGCAGGAGCGTGTGGGGCGTCTCAGTGCAGCCTGTGCGCTCATTTGAAACCCGCGGAGACTCTACGGCGCATCACAAACACACACGCTCCCTATGCACGGCTCGTCTGCGACAGCGTGTGCCCTCGTGTACCAGCGTGCATCACAGGGCAGGTTCAACTTCCTAAACATCCTACCTGTCCATCTGCCTCACGTCAGCACGCCGCCCCTCGCCTTTTCACGCTCTCGCTCCTTCCTGCGTACAGCGAACACAAGCCCCTCCCACAGTGCGGCTGATTAGAAGAGCAAGACCAAATGTGAAGCAAAAACCAGTCTAAATTTGTGTTCCAGTGTTGGCACAAAGCAGGTCTACAGCATAGAGCGGATCTACAGAACAGACCTACTGCCACATTTGGCTGAAGTTTGTCTAACAAAAGTGCACAAATGCATCTGTGTTTGTCACGATGTGTGCGTTTGGTTTGGTAAACGTGCAGAGGCTGGTAAATATCACTGCAAAACCAGAAAAGAATGCAACTCCAGTTTGGAACTTTAAAAAACAGGTATAAAAATCTTCCTTCACTTTTTTCACAGTTTTGTGTAAAGTGCCAGAGGAAGTTCTCTTAAAGAAGAGGTTCTCAAACTGTGGGTGAGGGTCCAAAAAAGGGGCACAGAGTGTTTCAGTGCAGTTTGATTGGCTTTGTATTAGGTAGATCATTTTGACTTGGTCATTTTGTAAGTAGCTCCCGTGCTGAAAAAGTGTGAGCACCTCTGGTCTATATGAATGAACAATGTGCCAAACAAAGAATCCATCCATATATTTCGCCACATCGTTGTTTAAGCTGAAGGGTTCAAAGTGTGAGAAAAAAGTAGCGGCTTATAGTCCAGAAATGACTGTAAAATCATTAAAAGCTCATAAAATACCCTCCCCAAACACATCAGAGACTCATCCACACTCCCCATGTTTAAAGAAAACCCATATCTTTAAAACCACCTTTCATTTCTTTTGTTTGCCTTTGTCTGTCTCCTCATGTAAAGCGTCTTTGAGCATCTTGAAAAGCCTTATACAAGTGTTAATATGATTATTATAAAGTTGATTTTGCACCAATTATCCCACTTAAAGATTAAAAATGAAAAAAAAAGCGCAATCAGCTCTTTTTGTAGAGTTATTTGGCCGCCAAGTTTTTGTTTTATTGCCTTTAAACTTTATATTATTATTAATTTTGCATATCTCCAGAACTTCCATTAAGATATTACCAATTATCTCCAACCTGTATTTGTGAGAAGATGTTTTTTGCATATCTGTTTGTCACATTTGTCCTTTTATCCATGAGGTAAAAGGCAAATAAATGGCTAAAGTTGTTTTTTTTAATCGTACAGTGACGGTGAGAAAGTAATGTTTCCCTTGGATCGATGCAGCTTGTCTACACCATCGTATAAAAGCGTGTGTTTATGGTTCAGGTGTGGTTGTACCTCCTGCGTGCGGGGCTCTGTCAGGGGGAGCGTTCAGCAGCGAGTCCACAATGGAGGTCCTCTTCTGCAGCAGCACAGAGATCATCTCCAGTCCCTCTGGGCCCAGCAGCTCAAACAGCTGGAGACACATACACAGAAACAGAATCAATGAAGAGGCCAAAACAAGCTCTATCGGATACGTTCACTTCAAACAATGGATGAAAAGGACAAAACAAACCCAACTGAACCGTGTTTATATCTACTGTACTATTTTAATATTTATAAAACTTGTGTATTTGGCAAAAAGAAGAATAACATTTGTTGCACCTTGTAGCAGTCAGTGGACACCATAGACTGTGTAAAGAAGTGGACTAAGGCTATGTTCAGACTGCAGGGCTTAACGCTCAATTCCGATTTTTTGGTGAAATCCGATGTTTTTGCGAGGTCGTTCACATTTCCAATTAAATGTTACTTGTATGTGATCCCCTGTGTGCACATTAAACGGCCCGAAAATGTCCCGCATGCGCACTGGAGACACGACGACGTCAACCGCAGCGAGCGTGCTCTGTGTTTACGGAAGTTGTCCAAACATGGACGCAGCATTGAGCACCTGGAGATTTTAAAGTTCCTCTCGTACCGGAGCCAGAACATGAACAACTTATTTGTTTTAAGGAGATTGAGAAGGAGAAGGACGAGGTTTTTGGCCGTGGTGTTTTGTGGGACAGCGGCAGCGACGTCCGTTGAAAGGAACGTGTGGATGTGGAGACGGAGCCAAGAGTGGTGAGTGGTGATGTGCTTTGCTTCAGTGACACGGAGTTCATTAACAATTTTCATCTACTTCAGGGCAGAATAGTGACGTTTGTGGCTTGTTGATAACGTGTAGGTCGGATGAATATGTGCTTTGGCCGTTCAGACTGAAGTCCACATGACAAAAGATCAGATATGTATCAGTTTCAGGAGCACAGATCCAAGTGTCCTGGGTCACATTTGAAAAAATCGGATCTGTGTCGTTCAGACTGTCATTAAAAGCTCAGATACAGATCACATAGAGGCCAAAAAATCAGATTTGGGTCACTTCAGGCTGCAGTCTGAACGTAGCCTTAGAGTCTCTTTACATGAGAACGCTTGCGGGTAAAAACGACAAAATATTTTATCAGAAGTGCCTTTCGTTTTGAAGGTGACGGCGTTTTGGGGCTTAAAAACGCAAAAATCTGAAACCACCCTCCAGAGTGAAAAAGTTGAATACGCTTCATCGTCGCTTTTCTGTCTTCGCTGCCCAAGACGCAAAACTCTGGTCAGATCTGCTCAGGTCATGTACAAGTTTACGTCACATATATCACCACCGAGCGTCAACACGGAGCCACCTGGCATGCAAACCCAATCGAATTCCACACTTTTGCTTCACCGTATGCACGCAGATTTCCTCCCAAAAACGCATAGGGGCGTAAAAAAAACTGGATTTGGGTCACTTCAGGCTGCAGTCTGAACGTAGCCTAAATCAGTTCTTTAAGGCCAGATTGTGTTAAAATAAAGCTCAGATAAAGTCTAATTTGATTCACAGAGCTTTACACAGAGCAGTGCCTCCAGGTTCGAAGTAAAGTAAAGTATCGATACAAGTTCCCAATATAGATAAAAAGTTGTTGCTTTTTTTGTCATGGCATGTCAGTAAAAGTCCAGGAGTTTTCCACGCTTGATTCAATCGCGAATCCACACACACACACACACGTACACACACACACACACACAGAGTAGCCCAGTGCAGTCTGGAGCTGGGGCTGAACACCTGCTAATTACCACCAGTCTGCAACCGAATCTGCTCCTGCGCTTAGTCTCCCAACAGCCACCTGGCACTTAACGCGTGACAGCTACACAACAAGCACAAACCGAGCACAATTAAAGCCATAATACCAACCTGACACGGCATTCATCAATATCACTGTAAGGAAAGACGTCTGAGGAGAGGCGGACCATGATAAAGTCGCTTCTTTAATTGGAAAATAGTGGAGCAAGAGGTATGTAATTTACACCGGTGACAAACAATACAATGACTTTTTTTCCCCCCATTTCCTTTCAAAGCTGGATTCAGAATGGAGGTGGTCTCTGGCTGGATGGGGGTCTCTGGGGAAAGCAATCGTGTGCGCAGTGGGTGGCTTTGATTCGGGGTCAGTGTTGTAGAGGGCATCGCCGCTTCGGTCCGCGTTTTGCTTTCATATGGGAGTCAGGTAACTATTGTCTCCGAGCCGTTGTAAAGAAGTAAAATTGCCATATTGGATGTCATCTAGGGAAAGTCCCGGGTTGTCCAAGGACTAGTTTAATAGTTGTACGGAGGGGCAGGACAAACCCGACTAAATTGGGTCTAAAATATCGGTCAACAAAAACAGGTAAGAACAATAAAAAATGGCTTTGTCCACAGAAATAACTCAGGACAAAGTCAGAACCAAACCAAGTGAGAACTAAGAAATAAAACCATCAAGAGACAAAAAATAATAATAATAATTTAAACATGTAATCTCCAGTAATTGAGGAACAAAGCAAGTTTCAAAGGGACAAACAGAGTCTACAGGCTGAAGTATAGTTCTGCGTCGACTCGGTGCACACTGTCACTGTCGCCTTGCTGCCGTCGTTTTTGATTTATGGGTCTCAGTCGAGGTCTACGCACTGTCAAGTAATTCACCTCCACAACGCTAGGGGGCAAGGATTTAAAACTGGCCTTCGTGTATACCAGGGGTCAGCAACCTTAAATACTCAAAGAGCTATTTGGACCGTCTTCCCCAGAAAAGAAAACACCCAGAGCCAGAAAACCCTTTTGACTTTAAAATGAGGATAACACTGCATATAATTTTTTTTACCAGTATGAGTCGTGTCCTTTTTAAGTCCAACAGAAGCAGACCTCATCAGCGCACAAGGCACGATCTGTTTTTTTCAGCTCTTACAGTTTATGCAAATGAGCCATGTGGTTTTAAGTTTGATTTCTGTAAAATGTAAACAAATGTGTGCAAAGCTGAATTAAACACATTATTACTCAATGTATACTGAAAGAAAGAAAAGCAGAGTACAGGAAATGCCTAGATCAAAGGTGTCAAATTCATTTTGGTCCGGGGGCCGTATCCAACCTACTTTGATCCCAAAGGGGCCGCATCAGAAAACTCATGTCATATAAACCCCAAAAATAACAATAACTTCAAATATTTGTGCAGAGAAACGCACATCTATTACAGAAATCTTTTTTAATTGATGAACTCTTTCTTATTGTATTATTATAATATTATGAACAACCTGACACTTGAAGAAAAATTCAATTTCAACACAATGTTTTAACATGAACTTGTATGTAAACAGGAATAAGTCAATTTTTGTTGTAAAATCCTGCACTCGGCTCCACTTTTCTCATTTTGGACATTTTTCTGATGAGGGTGTCACGGTCAACAGTCAAAACGATCGTCCTTTAAGAGCGTTTGGAAAGAGACAAGTCTTCATTTGTGCTGCTCTGGTGGGAGGGGCCACGTACAGAGACGCTGGAAACGCTGCTATGCTAAGCCCCGCAGAAAATTACCAATATTTTAATAGAAAATATAATTAAAATATTTTAGTAGAAAATCACCCAAGGGCCACATTAAAGGTCTTGGAGGGCCGGATCTGGCCCCCGGGCCGTATGTTTGACACCTGTGGTCTAGAGCAATGGCAGAGAGGACAACTCGCAGCCTTTATTGTCTTGGTCGATGCAGACGCTCGGCATAGAGGGTTGACACTGACGCAGCTTAAGCTTTATAACAACATAACATGCTCACGTGGACTATCAGCCCATATCAACCAAGGATGTAACAATAACCGAAATATCGTGATATCGTATCGTCAAAGTATATCGATTTACAAGCCTCTTTGCTTAAATTAATAGTTATGGTGCAGCAATAGCTCAAAACAACAGAGGAACTACATAGACCATGATCCTTTGCTTCATTTCAAGGCATTTTAAGAGGAAAAAGTAGCGTACTCACAGTTTAGTTTGTTTTGCCTACACAAAATATTTCAATAAATATCGTCCCGAGAGACTGGGATGGGAGAAGATCGTGCACACATAGTAAAAGTGATCTTGAGATTTTTTCCTCGTGTTTTTAAGCTCTAAAAAATATAGAGTACTGGCAAGTTAAATTTTTGGAGAATGTGACAGTGCAGAAATATTAAATAAAGTAAATTAAAAATGGTGAGGCTAAAATTGGGAACTAAGGGCCTGTTTACACGAGAACGCTTGTGGGTAAAAACGGACAAAATATTTTATCGGAAGTGCCTTTCGTTTAGACGCAACACATGTAACAACAAACCGAGATGAAAAAAAAGAAAAAAAGCCGGTAGAAGCTGTGTGTGTGTGTGTTTTCTTCCGGTCGACATAAATATGTTTGTGTCTCTTTCCAATCAGAACCTTCCCCACCCCCAGACATTGAGTGGAATTAAATAAAGCCGATTTAATGTGTTTTCCATGTAAACCTTAATTCAGAATTATTATTTCCATGTAAATAAATTAATTTCCTCATTAATTAATTTGGAATAATTAAATTTGAATTTAAAAAAAACATAATGTAAACGTGGCCAATATATCACTATTTTGATATTTTTATTCTACTCTGCTCTATAGTCTTTTGTTGTCGTAATTGCAAACATACAGTAATTTAAAGGTGTATTTAGAAATCCTACTCAGAATATATCAATTTTACAGCTGGACCAACTCAGGAATAGAATAAACAAAGGATAAAACAACAACCTTACACCTTACATTTAACATCAAGGCTAAATCAAATTAAATTACCACCCTGCCAGAGAAACCACTGGCATAAACTGTACCGGCGATTTATCTTTTTCATTTACCTGTTTATAGGTGCCATTTAGAGACTTTTTACCTTTGAAAACACAATATTTTGTTTTTTATTTGGTAATTAGAGGCTATGGCAACAGTCCAAACTTCCCCATCACTCCAGTACTCGCATAGATTCGTGTTGGGGAGTGCACACTACGCACTGAGTGAGTTTTGGCTTTTACCCGCTCAAAGTGATTTTCGTTCCCATTTTATGAACTCTGGTGAAATGTGTCCTTGGAGAGCGATGATGAGTTTCTCCTTCGGCCCGCTCTGTCCTCGCGGCTACATCC